TGAGATCGCCCTCTGGCTGTGTTCTTTTAGCCAGCATTAACTAATTGCCAGTTCAGAGATTGACTGGTTCTACTTTGGACATATTGTCAGGAGGGACCAGTCACTGGAGAAGGATATCATGTTTGATAAGGTGGAAAGTCAGAGAAAAAGAGGAGGACCCCCAGCGAAATGGATTGGCCAAGTGGCAGCCTCTATGGGTTCAAACATGGCAACAATTGTGGGATTGGCCCACGATCAGGCAGTGTTTTGTTCTGTTGTGTATAGGGTCACTATGAGTCGGTACTGACTCGATTGCACCTAACAACAACAACAAGCTAATTGCTAGTAACATGTAACGAACTAATGTTTGCTGCGCACTGACGCTGGGCTGGGAACTGTGCTCATACATGATCTACACATAAATGTATATGTTCTGCACATGACCTCATCCTAACAACAGTCTCAGTATTATCATGCCCAGTGTACAGATGAGGAAACCAAGGCTCAGGGCGATTACAGTTCCTGTCCAAGACCTCAGCAACTCCATTGTGGTACAGCTGGGACATGGATTTTTCTGACTCTAAAAGTTGTCCTTTCGTCATAAAGTTATGCCACTCAGTAGACAGGGCCTGAATTGTTTTGTGTGGATATTGAAAGTTTTGGTCCAAAACAAGGTTGTTGTTGTTAAGTGCCGTCGAGTCAATTCCGACCCATAGCGACCCTAGACAGGGTTTCCGAGGCTGTAAATCTTTACGGGAGTAGAACTCATCTTTCTCCCATGGAGCGGCTGGTAGTTTCAAACTGCTGGCCTTAAGGTTCGCAGCCCGATTCGTAACCACTACGCTACCAGAGCTCCAACAAGGTTAGGAAGCGGTATTAGGGTTGGATCAGCATTATATACATCAGAGCCTCCATGTAAACTATGCACATAATAATAAGAACTAGGAATCCCTGTTGTTGTTGTTTAAGTGCCATTGAGTCAGTTCCAACTCATAGTGACTCTGTCTAGGGTTTCCAAAGAGCAACTGGTGGGTTTGAACTGCCAACCTTTTGGCTCAAAAGTCCAGTGCTGATCCTTCAGCGCCATACCAGGAGTCCCTGAGTGGCATACATAGTTAACCACCCAGCTACTAACCAGAAGGTGGGTGGGTCGAATTAAGAGGTGCCTTGAAAAAAAGATCTGGTGATCCAAAAGCTTTTGGTAATTCCAAAAGCTCATAGCCAATGAGAGCCCCCTAGAACATAGTTCTACTCTGAAACTCAGGGTTACCATGAGCCAGAAATGATTCAAAGGCAGCTGGATTTGTTTTCCTAGGCTTTCTATGGTTATGGGAGGAGCTGGGGAAGTGAAGGTTTATGAGGGAGAGTTGAAGAGCAGAGAAGTCACCAACCAGGCACTTCTAGTGCTAAAGTGGGGTTGGGGGGTGGGAAAGGGGTGTTGCGGAGTAGTCTAGGGAGACTGTTGGTTCTGTGTAGCTTTGCCTTCAGCCAAGCATCCGGTGGTAGGCCTGAGATTCACACTGTTCAGCAGCACAGCCCGCAGAACCTTAGCTGTTGGGAGAAGACCTGGATGCAGAGCACTGGAGACTGAGGACCAGTTGGGAATCTCTGTGACTGTCCATTACTGTATCTGATAATGACACCCTTCTGAGAAAGGTGTTTGCTGCTTTACTTCTGTCTCCTAAATCTTGTGCACACTCTCCTCCTGAAATCACACAGGGAAGGGCAAAGGTTTTTCCCATGAGTCAAGAGAAGGCAAGGAATGCGTGTGTAGTCAAAACCCTGAATGACTGTCTCTTTCCAAGTGAATCATCGACTATAGTCCTAGGAAGAAACTGACTACTTCTGGTTTAGACTTAAGAACCGAAGGTCAAAGTGTTGTGCTGTGAAAACTTGCCCATAGTTTAATCATTTTAGAAAAAGAATCCTTTAGTTGGGTGGAATTTTCCTTGCAAAACATGCTGCTGGTGGCTTTGGAAATTGAGGCAGCATCTCTGTGCTTCTTCAGAGCTGTGAGTGAGTGTCGAAGCGTGAGGCTGGCTAGGGAATTGGTTTACCTGTCTTTGCTCATTGTGTGAATGGCTAGGTCAGATACGGGATTCTTTTGGGGACATTATTACATCAATACTTCCTATCACAAACTAGTAAAAATCTGTGCTTTAAAGCCATTCTGCTACTTCGTTTTAGTGGCTGCCCTGTATAGTTCCAAAATCATTCTTTCAGAGACGAAGACAATCATGGAGACAGTGTCATATAATTTTTCTCAAATGGTATTCCACAAAACAGATGTGCCTTAATGTTCACAGGGTGGTTCTTGAAAATAGAGATTCAGACAGAATATCAGGGGAAATCTTTCAACAAACTGATTCAACGCTGGAGGTGCGCACTTATCTATGCCAAGAATTTGGAGGATGGCTACTTGATCGATCAGTAGGAAGAAATCCGTATATGTGCCCATTCCAAAGAAAGGTGACCCAACAGAATGCAGAAATTATCAAGCAATATGATTAATATCATACACAAGTACATTTTTGCTGGAGATAATAAAAAGATGATTGCAGCAATAAATCAACAAGAGCTGCCAGAAGTTCAAGCACGTGGGGCAAGCGATATTATTTCTATTATCATAGATTTTGGCTGAAGTTAATATACCAGAAAGATGTTTGCCTCTGTTTTACTAACTATGCAAAGACATTCAACTGTGTGGCTCATGACAGATTATGGATAACATTGTGAAGAATGGGAATTCCAGAACATTTACTTGTTCTTGTGCAGAACCTATGCATAGATCAAGAGGCAGTCCGAATGGAACAAAGGAAGACTGCCTTGTTTAAAATCAGAAAAGGTGTGTGTTAGGGTTGTATATTATATAACCCTTATGTATAAGGTCAGTGGTTCAAACCCACCAGCTGCTCCTAGAAACGCTATACAGGGTCACTATGCATTGGAACCGACTTGATGGCACTTAACAACAACACAGCTTCGATGGAGAATGTGTCAAGAAACAGTAGCTTCACATTTTTATAATTCTATTTAATGTTTATGTGACTCACTGACAATACTTCTTGACTTATCCTTGTATATCAGGGCTTGCACAAACAAAACACATCAGCAAAGATATTAATATCTCTTTCTGGGTGGTTGTTGTTGTTGTTGAGTATTGTCCAGTTGGATCTGACACGCAGAAACTCTGTGTAGGGTTTCCAGGCTTCCAAACCTTGGTGGGAGCAGAAAGCCTTATCTTTCTCCTGAGTAGTGGCTTGTGGACTCGACTCACTGGCTGTGCGGTTTGTAGTTCAGTGCTTATCCTACAGATCCACTGCACTTGGTTGTTGTTAGGTGTCGTCAAGTTGGTTCTGACCCATAGTGACCATTTATAGGGTTTCTGAGGAGCAGCTGTGTGAGTTTGAACCATCGACCTTGGAGTTCAAACCAACTTTGCAGTCTAACGCATTAATCCACAGTGCCACACAGGACTCCTTCTGGATGGTTGTTGTTGTTGTTAGGTGCCATCAAGTTGGTACTGACTCATAACGACCTTAGGCACAGCAGAATGAAACACTGCCTGATCCTGGGCCAACCTCACTATTGTTGTCACGCTTGAGTCCATTGATGCTGCCACTTGGCCAATCCATCTCGCTGGGGGTCTTCCTCTTTTTTGCTGACCCTCTACCTTACCAAACATGACATCCTTCTCCAGGGACTGGTCCCTCCTGACAATATGTCCGAAGTATGAGAGATGAAGTTTGGCCATCTTGGCCTCCAAGGAACACTTCCAACACAGATCTGTTGGTTCTTTTGGCAGCCCATGGCACTTTCAATATTCTACTCCAACATCAGAACTCAAAAGCATCAATTCTTCTACGGTTTTCCATATTTATTGTCTAGTTTTCCCATGCATATGAGGTTATTGAAAATACCAAGGCTTGGGTATTTTCCTTAGTCCTCAAGCTGACATCTTTGCTCTTCAACACTTTAAAAAGGTCTTGTGCAGCAGGCTTACCTCATGCAATACGTCATTTGATTTCTTGACTGCTGTTTCCATAAGTGTTGATAGTTGATCCAAGATGAATGAAGTCCTTGACCACTTCAATCTTTTCTTTGTTGATAAGAAGGTTGTTTATTGGATGGTAGGATGATGACTACTTTTCTATCTACTCATCAATATTTAAAATTTTTCCCTCAATGGAAAATCGATTACTTTAATAATAATAATTTTTAAAAAACTCCTCAAACCTATCTCTTCTCTTAACTCCCCTTCCAGGTTAGCTTTCTTCAGGCTCCCTGATTTCTGCCAATGGCATTGCAATTCTTCACAGCCTCAAAAACTCATAGTCATTTTTGATAACCTCTTGTTTCTGTCACATTCTTCCGAGGCTTTTAAGATTCCAGGCTTTATCTTTGTCTTGGACTTTCATCAGTTTGATTATGATGTATCTAGACTTAGATCTCTTTGAGTTACTCCTATTTGGAGTTGTTTGGATGTGCGGATTAATGTTTTCTGTTTGTGGTTATCTGGGTATGATTCTCATTCGATTTTTATTTCTTTCAGGGACATGGCTCTTGCCTTAACTCTCTCCCTGGGGCCTATCATACTTCTCTTAACAGCTGCTCCCTAGATTATTGAACCTGCTGCTCCATGCTTGTCTGTATCTTGCAACTGTCACCTGCATGAACAATTTCTTCTATAAATAAACAGTTTCTGTTTCAGGAATAGTTTGCCCTTGATATTGACAGCCCACCTCATACCTCCCCAGGCCTCAAACTTAGAAACATGAATTTGAGTTGGTATTCAAATCTTTAACCACAGTGAGCAAAGTGACAACTCTCATCTCTCATCAGAAACAAGTTAGCCTTATCAAGATCTGGTTTCTTTTTGGGGGGAGGGGGGGCTCCTTCGATATTCTAGCTGCTCTCACATCATTTTCTAGTGACTTCTTGATGAGATTTTTCTTTGTTCTTCCATGCTTTTCTTTTCATGGTTCCCTTATTGCTATTTTTTTTTTTTGATCACGTTCCGGATGGCTCCGCAGTGTTTCCAGAATGAATATTTGGATGGTTTGCTTCATGCTTGCAAACCTTGTCACCTTCGGTGTTCTCATACCCCTCCTCTAGTCTGTCAGCATTACTGTAATACAAGTAAGTAATATTTCCTGAATTCATGGGTGTGATATGTTTTTTCTATAGTGACTGTTGTATTTATTCAAAGAATAAATGTGACAGAAAATTTATTTGGGAATCAAAAAGTAGAAGAGGAAAAGGCAATGAATTAAATGTTTACAGGATGAAAGTAATTATTTAGAATGGAACTCCCTTTTTCACTCAGTACTCTTTTTAGAATTGATTTTTATCAACTCTCTTAATTAAGTGTTATTTAGAGTGTAAAAGTCATTGTGGATCAACTAGGAGCACAGGATGGCAAACGACCTAAAATACATGTGAATATTCTGCTATCTGCCATTCTTTTAATAAAGATCTGACTAATTCTGCGAAAGGAACACATGTGATTCTCTGGACCTGTGTGGGCCTGTGCTTGGCAGTTTCTCTGGCTTTTTTCCTGATGATGTACTTGCTAAAGAAGATGAGTGCGGAACTATTAAAGGACAAATTTAAAAACACAGGTTAGTGTGATGATGAATCTTTGAAGTCTGTTTCCAAAGTAAGTGTGGCCATTGTGAATTTCGGTTCTTTTTGACTTTAAGTATCTCTCTGTCAGAGGGCAGTTAGGTTAAATAAACTTAGTGGGGGAGGCAAGCTGCCTTCATTCTGTTGTCCAGACCTCTTTAGCAGGCTCACTACGACATCAGCCTTCCCCTCAATTCTTCCCTTGGTAATTAATGACTCTATTAAAGTACGGAGGCTTCCTTGAGCAATCATTACCCATCCCTTGGTTAAAGTTAGCAGAGTGATGGAATGACATGCTTTCTGAACTGAGCTAGGTCTACTCCTATCAGGAACAGTAGCTTTACAAGATGTGTGACTGCATTATAAACACACATCTAAGTCTTGTTTCCTCGGGTGAACGCTTTGCTACTGAAAAATACTAGAAATGAGTAACCAGTTGTTCCCGGATGCTGAGAGTAGACATCTAAAAAATTTTCTTGATGAAGTGGTAGAGAGATGAATGTTCTACTTAAGGTTAAAATATTTCTTCAGGCCCATGGTGTGATTCCAAATGCTTACCAGCCACTGCCCCGGTTTCTTGATGTTTGTATTTCCCGTGCATATTGTATTGAACATACAACAGGGAGGGGATAATGGCTGTTCAGCAGTTATCTCTTTGATTAATTTTTCTTTCTTGCCTGGGATCTGGCAGATGGCTAGGAAGTGACTTTATGTATGATCTTTTGAGAGACGGAGTTACCCTTTGATGCCAAGAAAGTAGTAAACCTTACCTTCACAGGTGTACACTAGGGGCATAATGGAGACCCCTTCATTATGTGGTCACAAGGGGTTCAAACTTTCAAATTTTCTAGTTTTTCCCACAGATTGATTTTGAGGGCTGTGACTAGGGTGATTTCTGTCACTTTCAAAAGTGTGAAATAGGTTCAAAGCCTCAAATGCCTGCAAGGACCAAGTGGGTAACAACCCTGGTGATCAATGGGATGACAGATGTCACAGCTGGAGTCCCAAGTAGGTAACAAATGAGTAGTGGGTGGAGGCTTTGGCAACAGGGGAGCCATGTCGTGTCTGAGGTAAACTCTCAGCTGCTACTGACTCCAGTGGACTCTTTCCACGGAGGGATGCTGATTCCATGTTACCATATTCTGTTGCCTTGTAACTGAGTGTAGACTGGCATATAAAATCTTCTGTTTTGTTTTTTTTTAAACATTAGCAAACATTGTAATCAAACCAAAACTCTGAAAAGCATGCTTGTCTTTACACCAAATGTGGCCTGTGGTCTGTGAGCTTGTGGCTTCTAGTGCAGGACACGCTCCTCGAAGACGTGTACTGCTAAGGCGCTCAGGACCACACCCCCGGGGGAGGCACAGGCTAATGTTTCTGTTTTTGTATCATCAGGACCAGTTCTCCAGGATGTGGCTGATATTGACCGGAACAGCAGTATGACAGGTGTTGAAAGTGCCCTTCCGAGAGGACTGGGGTACACCGTAGAAGAATGCACCTGTGAAGACTGCGTCAGTTGCAAACAAAAGATCGATTCCGACCATTTGTTCCCTCTTCCAGCTATGGAGGAAGGTGCCACTATTCTTGTTACCACAAAAACAAGTGACCACAGCATCAGCCTGCCAGGTGCAGCAAGCATCACCCCCCACCACCACCTCCAGTTGCCATAGCCACCTCTGACTCATGGCAAACCCAGGTGATCAGGGCGGAACTGTGCTCCACAGGGTCCTCGATGGCTATGACCTTTTAGAAGTAGAACGCTGTATCTTTCTTCCGAGACACCTCTGGGTGTGCACGAACCTGTAACATTTCGGTTAGCAGTCGAGGGAACTAACCATCTGTACCACGGCCCTTTAGGTGTCTTTGGAGCACAGAAATGAACTTCTACTAAGTAATGAATCCTGCTGTGTAGGATAAGCACTGGACTGCTGATCACAAAGTCTGTGGTTCAAACCCACCAGCTGCTCCTAGGAAATCCTATACAGGGTCTCTGTGAGTCAGCACTGACTCGATGGCACTTAACAACAACAATTATCCATTTTGACTGGTGTAACCACATTTTAGTGAGCCCATACTTGAGTAAATTCCTACTAGGAACAGTATATGTTTTACAAGATGCGTGGCCGTGTTTTTAATACAAATTTATGTCTTGTTTCCTTAAAGGGCTTGACTACTAACTGAAAGGTCGATGGTTCAAATCCACCAGCTGCTCTGCCTGAGAAAAATGTGGCAGTCTGGTTCTGTAAAGACTGACAGTCTTGTAAACCCTGTGAAGCAGTTCTACTCCATCCTATTGGGTTGCTGTGAGTTGATATCGATTCAATGGCAGTGAGTTTAGAGATACTTTGAAAACCTATCTTTAAGAAGGAAAACAGATCTCTTTAGAATGACTGTACTTGCCAGTTGTAGACATAGCTTTTTGGCCACCAATTCTGAAACCTCATTATGTTAGACAGATTTCTCTATCTTACTGTCAGAAGCATAACTGGGAACACTTACTTCCTCGTGATTAAATTCTTGACTTGCTAAAAAAAAATAAATCATTGTGATGTGTAGATCCGAGTCTCCCATTTCTGTAGCTAGACCATTTCTTTCCTGTACATTTTGTTATTAAGTGCTGTCGAGTTGGTTCCGACTCATAGCAACCTGATGTACAACAGAGCAAAACATCACCTGGTTCTGAGCCAGGCTCACAATTGCTGCTATGCTTGAGCCCATTGCTGCTGCCACTGTGCCAATCCATCTTGTTGGGAGTGGGGGTGGGGGTGGGTCACCTTTTTTGCTGTCCTGCCACTTTACCAAGCATGATGTCTTTCTCCAGGGATTGGTCCCTCCTGATAGTATGTCTTCAATGGTGAGAGATGAAATCTTGTCATCTTCGAAGTGTTCTGATTGTACTTCTTCCTGCACGTATACATATACATTTCAGGGCAAATAAATGTGTAATTGCAAACTATGATAAAGAATTACTAGTAACATATTCAACCCCAATGCAAAGTGTATAACAGTGTATTAATAATATAGCCTTATTAATGTGCCACTTTTGTTTTAAAGAGTTTTTGTTGTACTTTAGGTGAAAGTTTACAGAGCAAATTCGCTTCCCATTGATAATTTGTACAGAAAGTGCTTCAAGACATTGCTGCCTACAATGTGTCTATACTCTCCCCTTTATTTCGTTTGATTTATTGCCCTTTCCTGTCTTCTCATCTTTGCTTTTGCACAAGCGTTGTCGTTTTGATCTCATATAACTAATTGTTCTAAGGAACATGTTTAGGGTGTTACTGTTTACTTTATGGGACCATTTACTGTTTAACTGAAAGGTGGTCTCTGGGGATGGCTTCACTTCCAGGTCAGAGGGTGTTTTAGGGCCATAGTCCCCAGGGTTCATTCTGTCTCTGTTAGATCAATAAGTCAGGTCTTTTTTGTGAATTTGATTTTTTGTTCTACATTTCTCTCCTGCTCGGTTTGAGTCCAGTCAGAGAGGTCAATAGTGGTAACTGGGCACCATCTAGTTCTTCTTGTCTTGGGGTCATATAGGCTCATTTGATCCATTAGTCTCTTGGATTATTTGTTCCCTTGAGTCTTTATGTTCTTTGCTCTGGATAGGAAGACACCAACAGCTGTATCTTAGACGGCAGCTCGCAAACTATTATGAGCTCAGACACTCCTCATCAAAGTAGAACGTGGTCTTAATGAACTATGTTGTACCAATTGATGTCTCTATCCCCTCAGCCTACGATCCTTTTTTCCTTTGAAATTAGGAACTTCATCCTGCAAGGGGTTTGTTTGGGTGTGAGAAATTTCTATGACCTTGTGTGCTCTGTTGTCTATATTAGTATACATACATGCAGCACCTACAATTATGTATGTAGAAATAGCCACAACCCAATCTCTATCTGCAGGTGGGTGTGTTCCCTTGTATCCTCCCACCCTTCTTTAGCATACCTAGCTACCTATGAATGCACTTGTGAATTACTGTTTGTTAATACATTCTTGCAACATTGTTTATTTTATAGTATTGCTGCTGTTGCCTTTTATTTGTGCGTTCCTCTCAGAGTCTTCCTTTGCTGTGGCCGTATTGTGCTGACGTCCCCATAATCTGTATTCCCTTTCCTGTCATCTTTAGCAACATGTGTTCTGTATCTAGTCAGTCAATTTTCCTCCTCCTTTCCCCTCTCGTTCTTGGTAATCATTAAAAAAACTTTTTTTTTTTTTTTTTTTTTACTGAGTGTAAGCCTCTTTGTGGTTTGTTTTGTTTTCAATAACAGTGGTCTCATGAATATTTGTCCTTTTGTAATTGACTTATTTCACTCAGCAGGATGTACTCCAAATTCATCTATGTTGTGATATGTATGTTTCATGGATTCATTGTTATTCTTCATTGTCGTGTAGCATTTCGTTGTGTGCATGGACCACGGTTTGTTTATCCATGCATCTGTTGATGGGAGTTCAGGTTGTGTTCATCTGTTTGCCATAATGAATAATGCTTCAGTGAACAATGGTGGGCAGGTTTGTATTCTTGTCACTCTCTTGTTTCTTTAAGCAGATACATAGGAGTGGGGTTGCTGGACCACATGGTACTTCTGTCTCTAGCTTTGTAAGGATACGTCATACCATTATCCAGAGTTGTATCAGTTTACATTCCTACCAGCAGTATTTGAGTTCTAGTCCTCCTACAATCTGACCAACATTTGCTATTTTCTGTTTTTTTTTTAAAATAATATTAGTACCATTATTGTTAAGGAGTGCTGGTGACATAGTAGATTACATGTTGAGCTGCTCACGTCAAGTTCGTAGTTTGAACCCACCAGCTGCTCCATGGGAGAAAGATGAGGCTTTGTGTTCTGTAAAGATGAACAGCCTTAAAAACTGTATACAGGGTCACTAGGAGTCAGAACTGACTTCATGCTATACAGCTACCACCACCATTATTATTGGGGTGAGATGATATTTCATTGCAATTTTGATTTACATCTGTAATGAAAGAGCTCTGGTGGCACAGTGGTTAAGCACTTGGTTGCTGACTGAAAGGCTGCACCAGCTACTTGAAAGGGAAAAGCTCCTGTAAAGATTTACAGCCTTGGAAACCCTATGGGGCAGGTCTAACTTATGGAATTGTCTCTCAGTGTGTCTGAACCAACTTAACAGTGGTGGGTGATGGCTAAGGGTGGCAGGCATTGCAGAATGCATTTGATAGCTGCCTGACTGTCGTCTTTGACGAAGTCTCTGTTCATATTATTTGCTCATTTAAAAAATTGGATTCTGTGTCTTTTTGTTGCTGTGGTGTTGAAGTTTTCTATAAATTTTAGAGAAATAAAGCCCTTGTTGAATATGTGTAGCCACACACACATAAAAGTTCCCAGTCTGTAGTTTCCTTTGGAATTGTTTTGGAGAAGTCTCTTGAAGACATAAGTATTCACTTCTTAGGAGGTTTCATTTATCTAGTTCATCTTCTGTTTGTGTATTTTTAATTATGTTTGGTATTCTATATATACTCTATATTAGGGCTCCTAGTGTGGTGCTGTGGGTTAAAGCACTGGACAGCAAGGTCCGTTTGAACCACAAGGTTGGCAGTTCAAACTCACCAGCCACTCCTTGGAAACCCTATACAGGGTCACTATGAGTCAGAACCCATCCAACGGCACTTAACAACAACAGCCACAGCATTGTCCTTATTTTTACTTCCATGATCTTTATAGTTTTATGTTTTGTATTTATGCCTTTGATCCCTGTTGAGTTAGTTTTTGTGTATGATGTGAGGCCTGTTTCCTTTTTCCGTTTTCTGGAGATAGATAATCCCGTGTTACCAACACTGTTACTTAAAGTGACTGTGGCTCCTCCGATTTAATGGAGGGATTGATTGACTTCTGGATTCTCAGTTCTGTTCATTGGTCTGTGTGTCTATGATTGTACAGTGCCAACCTCCTACTTTGTTATTCTTCTTCAGTGATGCTTTCCTTACCCATATAAAGTCAGAGAAAGCTGTTGGAATTTGGAACAAGATTGCATTGTGTCTATAGATAACTTTGGGTAATATTGCTTCTTGGAAACCCTATGTAGGATTGCTATAAATCAGAACCGAATCAATGGCACTCAACAATGCCAACATTGAATTCTATTGGTTAGAATTTTGAGAATTTTTTCATCTGTATTTATGATGGATTGTCAAAGATCGAAATGTATTTGCTCAAAATATTTGTTAGCTTGGCTAGGCCATGATCCTCAGTGTTTTGGCTCTTATGCAATGATGCATTCTGATGTGATTTGATGTGATTGGTCAGTCAGTAGTAAGTGGATTACTGTGGACTGTTGTTGTTAAGTGCTGTCGAGTTGGTTCCGACCCATAGCGATCCTGTATAGGGTTTCTGAGGAGCAGTTGGTAAACTTGAACCACCGACCTTGAAATTCAAATGGCTTTGCAGTGTGGCGCATTGACCCTCAGCACCACCCCAGGACTGCTAGTGTGGACTGCAGACTGCGATATCAGGTCAGAGCCCCGATCCCATATAAACAGTAGCGCTGAGGGTTAATGCCCTGGACTGGAAGGCTGGTTTGGACTGTAAGGTCAGAAGTTCAAGCTCACCAGCCGCTTCTTGGAAACCCTATACAGGGTGACTATGGGTAAA